TTTCAAAGTTCTAATGGAGTCTCTTATCATGTGCAATGTTAAAACGAATACTTGACTTATCTACTTATTCATAACTGTTTCTACTTCTAAGGTTCAGTAACAACGAAAAAATGTACTAGTCCTTTGTGTTTATAGTCTTTTGCTAGTTCGTGTTTCTGCTCTGTCGACGAGTAAAGTCATTTTCAAATGATTTTTGTCCCGCCTGCGACGAAAGTAGCGAGACATAGGAATTTTTATCAGGCGGTGACGGCAGTGTAAACTATTTGTATAAGGCTTTATATTTCAGAAGCTAGAAGACCTGGATGCTCCATACCTTGTATGCAGATACTTTATGTTTCGAAGGTTTTGTATGTTTTCATATGTCCATTGTCCTAGACCTCATTTTCATGTTTCAGTGACTGCTTGAAAAATTTACAGTTTTTTTTTGTCATGTGAATTTCTCATTTATTATGAGTAATATGATAACTATATTTGGTATATAGGTTCCTTGCAACGTCTTCATATCTGTCAGATAGGGTTCACCTGATCCTTACCTCATTTCAGTGATCAGTGATAGAGGTTAAAGTTACGTGATTAGGTCCGTTTCTCGGATACTATAAGTAGTAGGTCAACTATATGTCGTGTATGGAATGATTGTAAGGGGTACATGTCAGTCTGACAGGTTTCATCTAGCCTTGACCACATTTTCATCTCATTGGTCAATTTTAAGTTTTTGTGTTTCGGTCTGTTTTTCAAGTACTATAAGCAATAGGTCAACTATGTATGGTGTATGGAATGATTGTAAGGTGTACATGTATGTTTAGCCTTGACCTCATTTTCATGGTTTATTGGTCAATCGTAATTTTTTGTGTTTTCGTCTGTTTTTTTAAATACTAATAGCAATAGGTCACATATATTTTGTGTATGGAATAATTTTAAGGTGTACATGTCTGTCTGGCAGGTATCTTGCCTTGACCTTATTTTCATCTCATTGGTCAATGTTAAGTTTTTGTGTTTCGGTCTGTTTTGTCAAGTACTATAAGCAATAGGTCAACTATATATGGTGTATGGAATGATTGTAAGATGTCAATGTCTGTCTAGACGGTATCATCTGGCCTTGACCTCATTTGCATGGTTCATTGGTCAATGTTATTTTTTTGTGTTTTTGTCGGTTTTTTAAATACTAATAGCAATAGGTCACATATATTTTGTGTATGGATTAATTGTAAATTGTACATGTCTGTCTGGTATCATCTGGCCTTGACCTCATTTTCATAATTCATTGGTCAATGTTAAGTTTTTGTGTTTTGGTCTGTTTTCAATTACCATAAACAACAGGTCAACTGTATTTGGTGTATGGAATAATTATAAGGCGTACATGTCTGTCTGAAATTTTTGATTTGACCTTGACCTCATTGTTAGGGATCTTGTTAAAATAATAAGTTTATGTGATACATGTAGCAAAACCTCTATCTTTAAGACTTTCAACATAAAATCAATGGTCAGTAAAGCAAGTGAGACATTTCAGCGTGTGCCCTACTTATGTTGTGCTGTTACACCACTGTTAAACACAAATTATGTGAGATTGCAAGTTTGTTCTTTTGCTGGCCACGGTAAATTAGATGTTTTCGTTTTGTTTTGTTTTGTACATAAATCAGGTCGTGAATTATTTTACATTTTATCGTGTTGCGACCTTTTATAGCTTAATTTACGGTATGGGGCTTGATCATGGTTGAAGGTTATACAGTGTCCTATAGTTGCTTACATCAACATCAACATACCATATTCTCTTATTGTCATATCAAAGACAAAATCAAAGAATAGAAAAACAAAAAGTAAAATGATCGACACCATAAAAATATCTTTTGGTAGAAGTCACAGATTATATATTATGTAAAACAAACTTAGATTTAAAAAAGGTTCTCTGAAACTGTCATCTTCATGAAGCTCTATTTGTTTGACAGGCGACCTATCTGGAAACGCGCGTCTGCATGTCGTACACAATTTTAATCCTGGTATCTTTGATGAATTTATTTGTTCTATTTTGCGGACGTGTATTTGTCAAAAGAAACATTCGTCTCCGATGGTATCACAGGCCATTATTCAGTATTTTCTGTGTTGACTTGAATCATCATTGATATGTTTATTTTCTTTACATTTCAAGTTACAAAATGTTGAATCATTCAAAACACTAAGGTTTATTTTTACCACCATGCATAGATTGCCTTATCCTTATTTGGCATTTTCATTTAACTTTGTATTTAATTGGACCATCCAACTTTTTTTATTCGAGCGCCACTGATGAGTCTTATGTAGACGAAATGCATGTCTGGCGAACCAAATTATAAGCCTGGTATCTGATGAGTTTTTACAACCGCTTGATAGATGGCTCTGCTGATGGACGTTTTGTTTGCTAGGGTTTCACCAGCGCAGAAGTTAGCATTTTCTGTGTTGTCATGAAACATTAGTGATATGTTCGTTATCTGTATATTCATTGTTATAAAATTTTGAAGTAATAAGGTCATGCAAAGATTGCCCTTAACATATTTGGCACAATTTAAATTGAAATTTTTGTAATTAAAGTTCTTCAACTTCATTTTTTGTACTCTAGAGCCGCTGATGAGTCTAATGTAGATGAAACGCGAAGTCTGGCGACACAAATGATATGCCTAGTATATTTGATGAGTCTGTTTTCGTATGAGGCAAATTGTATAATCGAACTTCTCAGACAAAGTTGACTTAAGATGGATTTGGCTTTTTTTTGTAAGTTTTTTGGTCATATAACTCTTCAACTGTTTCGGTTCTTTTCACCTTTGGCTTTCAAATATTCGGCTTTGAGCGTTTCTGACGAAGGTAAATCCAGAAAAGCGTTTCGGACTCATGAAATTTATAATGTGTTGTTTTCATTTTTTCTCAAAACAAATGGCAAGAAGCTGACATTATCCCTTATTACTCCGCTTTAAAAATGATGTCCGCTCACTGAATAATTCAAATTTTAGTAATACAATCAACAGTACCAATATTGCTGCACCTGATGCGCATTTTGACAATTATAATGTCTCTTCATTGATGCTTGAGGACTACATATTTGAAAATCTAAAACATACGTTGAAGAGCTGATAAAAATGAACATTCAATAAAGCAAAATCCAGAGAAGGAATAGAACTGTATTTTCATAGGGAAGATATATTCCTTAATTTACAATTATTTTCAAACTTTTATTTCTGCAAATTGAAATGAAACAATATCAGCATTTTCATAAAAGTACCCAAGTACTGTCTAGTGACTTCGGGGAAAAACAAACCACCATCAAAGGTATCGACCCAGTGATAGTAATAACATTAGCAGTACCAATTTTACTGCACTAGACGCCCTTTTCGACAATAAATGTCTCGTCAGTGATGTTCGAGGCTAAACTTAAAAAGAGGTTGATGAAACGCAAATAGACATAAGTATAGCGAAATCTGGACAAGGAATCAGAACTTACATGAAGGTGATAAATTCTTTGATTAAATTTTATAACTGAAACTCTCAACCAAGCAATATAAGTGACATGTGGATCACATATCTATCTATCAACAGTCTTGGTGATCTCGCATTAGCGTCATCATTTCAATTGCGGCTGGTCATGGATTTAATTCACTGCTGGATTAAACCACGGACTTGAAAATTTGTACTTGCTGCTTCAGAATTGTCATATACTCATTGATACGATTGATACTAATGTCACTTTAATTTTTCATTTATAATGGTATATATAAATCTAAACAAATCGTTAAAATATTTTTTTTCGTTGAGATGTCGAAAATTTGAATTGTTACGGTATTGAAAAGAAACATTGTTCTTGAATGATCAGTTCTTCTAGATTTAAATGCTGGTTATGTAATAAGTTTTAAAGGTTGTTTCCATACATTGACATATAAAAACTCCGTATTAAAAAGATTAAACACTTGTCATTTCAGAAGTTTAAAACTAAGTAAAAAAAAAATATAAAAGACATGACCACATGCATGAAGAAAAAAAGTGAAGTAAACTTCAATAAAAAAATCCGTCAATCACTTGTGTTTACAACAATGTACCAACATTCTATGATAGAAATAGTATCAGTTCAGTCTTCTTGCCTATTCTTTTGTGTATAACAACATTAACAATACCAATACTATTGGTTTGTACTTAGACATTGGAATCATGTGTTGTATACATGTTAACTTTTTTACTATTTTAGTTTTGATTCATTATAATCTGATGTATTGACATATTTTATAAAAAAGTAATATGCAGCGTACAAAAAAACGGGGGAATTTATAGAACTCTGAAAGGGTGAAGTATTATAAAAGATGGGAAAATTAGTTTTGTTTAAAAGTAAGAAAAGAGGAGACTTATAGAAGTCACAAAAGAAGGAATAAAAGAGGAGTAATAACAAGAGGAGCATTGTCGACCTAGGGAAATGGGTGTTATAAGAAATAAGAAAAAGCGGATGATTATAGAAGTGAGAAAAAGAGGAGGATACTATAAATAGAATACGCGGAGGATTAAAGAAGTGAGAATACGCCGAGGATTATAGAAGAAAATACACGTCGTGTGATGAAAATTTAAAAACAAAATACGCAATACTTTGAATATCACAACCTTCATACAGCGTAGCTTACTAAGTAATTTGTGATAGTTTTTTGAAAGATCAAAAGAAAATATTTTCTGGTTATCTGTTATGTAGGAAAAAGTCCTGCTCATGTTTTCCGCATTATTTAAATCTTTCAATATATACATATTGTACTTTATGTAACAACATTTCAAGTAAATTAAAACAAAATCAAATAAATTGCTACTCACATTTTGCAAAACCAATAAATTCTTAGTGAGATAATTTAATTATATGATATGCTCCAGGTATTTTCATCTCATAGGACAATCTAAAAGCATCTTTTAAAGCTTAAAATAACCTAATTGAGACTAGCCCATTGGTTGACAAACAAATGAATATTTATTGATGTGAAGAGTACTCACTGGAAAGCATACTGGTTATGAAATAAGACACTGTTTTAACTGTTCTCAGAAAGCTGATCGTATTGAGTATATATGTTCAAGATAATTGAGCAAAAGCAGGAACATGAGTATTTTGTAGGATAAAATCACGGTACAATGATTACACAAATGATTCACTCAGCTGTAGCTGCTGCAGTACTGTTATCACAATGTACAAACACTCTGAAAACTAAACTACAGAAATTTGAAAATGAGAAAAATACATGCATTATAAGTGGAACACAGATTGAAACATTTTTTGCAAGAACAGTACGCGAATGTGCAAGCTTGTGTGCCATCGATGATAACTGCTACTCTGCTAACTTTAAATCCGTTTCAGGACAGTGCCATTTTTACTCCACTTTCTATCCGAACACGGACCCCCTTTTCGGATATGAAACCATCAGAAAGATCCCAGTTACAGGTAAGGTTATAAGAGATAAAATTGTATATGCAAATAATTTCCGACATCCTTATGCTTACAGGAAATTGAATTTTCGAAATAAAGGAAAAAATGAAATTTTAGAATGATTGCACATTTTTGGTACTATTAATGTCTTTTTTTAAAAGAAAACAAAATGTTCGTATGACCTTCCATTGTTTTTAAATTTCTCTTTAAAACTAGTACGAAAATCCTGTTTTGTTTTTGAATTTCTCTATCTTGGCAAACATTACATAAGATAAAATATTAATAAATAAATAAAAGCAGACAAAAATAATGGAATAATAAAAGTATAAAGAAATAAGCGAAACCCCCCCCCCCCCCCCAAAAAAAAAAAAAAAAACAAACCAAAAAATAAAATTTCATTATCAAAAAGGAAATGGTTGTTTTCTAATGCTAATCTAAGCCCCTCTAGTATAAAACCCGACGTGAATATATTCGATGTTTTCCCGAATATCTCTGTATCCAAAATTGTACGAGGTCAATTCTTGCACTGTTCGTGGTATTTGTAAAAAGACTGACAACATCCAGACTTTCCAAGTAAAACTTAAAGTGTCTCTTTCTGGTATGAAATTGATGAAGTCCATATCTTCTCTGAAATGCACTACAAAAGTCTAAAAGTCTGAAAAGACCAGTTTTTGTCTTAATTTGCATGAACTTTTACTCGACATTCTCCAAAAGTATGACTTGTGTCTTAATTTTTCTTGACAAATTCTCATTTATATTAAATTTGTATGAAATTTACTCGACATATTCCCGACATTCTGAATATGGTCTTCAAATTTCTTGACAAATTCTTGACATTTGAATAATGTCTTGAAATTTCTCGACATATTCTCGACATTCTTATTTTTTCTCAGTATGGCTTGACATATTCTGAACATTTTGAATCGTGTCTTAAATTTACTTGACAGTTCTGAGTTTTACAAATCATGACCAATATTCATGATATAACTTTAATCTTTATTTCTCTTTATATGATATACTGTTGTTTCAAGTTACACTTCTTTACAACAAAAATAAAAGTTGGGCATGTAAAATAATTGAAAATTTGGGTATATAAATATTTTTACAAATGCAAATATGGCTATGAAATCTAAAGTATAAAATAATTCAAATGTGGGTGTGTTGATATAAAACAATTTCAATGTGGGTTTTTAAATAATTACAAATTTTGATTCCTAAATCTTATAAATTAAATGAATCAAACCAATCATACATGATACTGTAGACATATTTCATTCTACATTCATAATATTCAATGTTGATATGGTAAATAATTATTATACCAAAATGTTGTTTATATAAATAGCAAATTATGATGATATACAAATCATTCATTTAACAGAAGAAAAATTTGTGTTATGTCATCTGTTGGAATATATTAAGTATTACACATGGACAGGATGTTCCCCATAAAATTAAGGTATTCCACACCCCAGAGTACACGCAACTGTCAAATGGAAGTTATTGCTTTACCTGTAATCAGCCATACAACTTATCAGTTGACCGACCATGCCACTACAATTTAAAAAGTTTGTTGATAGATGAAAATGAAAATCATCATTTTGATGAAAAAAAATTGAATTGAAATGGATTTTCTTCATCAAAATTATGAAGTTAATTATTTTAACATAAAAACAAATTGAATAATTCCCAAAGATTAAAAGAAAATTATTATCTACTCCAGGAAGAATAAAAAAAAATGTATTTATAATGGGTCCCATCAATGATTTCTATAGAAATCATCGGTCTTATGAAATGGTTCTCAAACAGACATGCATAATATAGATCTAAACATTTTTTTCTTTTCAGGAAGGAGTTATCACAAATATTTATTTTTGATAAAAAATTATAAAATTCAACACTCAAATTTGAATAAAAAATGTTTTTGGGTTGTTCTAAAAAATGAATAAGGTTTTTGAATCAAGATGGGAACAAATTCTTTGACCTGAACGAAAGCCCCCCCCCCTCTTTTTTTAGCCACACAAACCCAAAAAATGAATTGTGGGGTCCAAAAGAGATACAAGACACCTATTTTAGTAAAGCAAATTTGACTGGCAGTTTTGCGAACGACAAAAATCTAAATGCTGTTTGTCAATACCTTCGACTTATATTCCAAGTGAAAACAATTACTTAAATGTTTAATAAAAATAAATCAAAATTAAACTACATGGGGGATTATTCAGAGTATTCCAACTTAGTTGCACCAAAAGGGTATCTTACTATACCAAATTAATCCTTGATTCTTCAAAGTTTAGTTTAGCCATAATAAAAAGGAGTATATAACAGCAATAGAATGTCATAAACAGTGCAGAATAAGTCTGTTCACATTTCAAGCGAAATTTATACTGTTGAGATAGTGTCAAGACATATTTAAGACTGTCAAGAATGTGTTGAGACATATTCAGACATTATTTAGAATGTCAAGAATATGTCGAGACATATTCAGACAATTATTAAGAATGTCAAGAATATGTCAAGACAGATCGAGACAAATTTAAGACAGTCAAGAATTGGTCGAGACTAATCCAGACTCTTATCAGATGATACAGGAAGTGTCGAGAAATTTTAAGACAATGTTCATACTGTCAAGACACTTGTCAAGAAAAATCAAGAACCTTATTAGACAAATTCATACTATGTCAAGAATTTTTAAAAATTATTCAGACAAATTAAGAATGTCGAGTAAAAATTCATGCAAATTCAGACAAAAACTGGTCTTTTCAGACTTTTTGACTTCTGTAGTGATGGCTTGGCACTATTTTGCAGATAAGTTTCAGATTAATGTCCAGAAAGTTATTTAGTCTGTGGGTACTACAAGCTGGCCCAGCAATTATAGTACGCAGTTTTAGATCTGATGACTAGGTACCTTAATGTATGTTTGGTTTTGACCTTTTATTTTTTCCTGAATATCTTGTGATTTATGTTTTTTTGAAAGTCCGTAAAAGTTTCTAGTTTTTCTTTTAAATTTTTTTAAGTAATCAATATTAATATTTGTAAGATTACTATCATATATTTTGGTAAGTTAATCAATTTTTCAGCATGGTAATTCGGGTTTCAAAATACTGAATCAAACCATGTAGACATGTGATTTGTTGTGTGTAGACAGTATCAATTACAGCGATAATATGACTATCAGCATAATTAATATCAACCTTAAGTGAAAAAATTTTGAAGCAAGAAATGTATTTGGTAAAATTCTACACCATTCAAGTTTTTCTAATATAACAGAATGTGTGTGTTTCTCAAACTTTTTGTCTCGACGTACCTGACGGAATTGATAATATCATCATCAAACAATTGATAAATATTTGACTGAATAATTTTCATAGTCGTAATTAGTTTTTAAAGTACATATTGGATTGTCCTTTGTGCAGGACATTTAATTAGCTATATTTTTAAGTATGAAGCAAATCAAAACGAATGTGCACTGAGTCCCACGATTAGTACCACGAGCAAAGTTGGAACTACTTTCCATTTCAGAACACATATGATCAACCCCGGTTATCGGTATGGCCCGTATTTCTAAATTTTTAGTTTTTGGGAAAAGACGGCTTCAATCCGTCAATTCCCTATATGGCTGGCCAGACATTCTACTTTCAAAGCCTTTCACGTCAATCATTTTGTATTTTACAGTTCGAAACCCCTCAAAATTTCATACTGATTTGATGAGCAGGAGATAAACAAATGAACAGATTGACTTTAAATACTGTGTTACACATTTCCCTTCTGTTTCTAGTGAAATCGTGTCTCGAGCTCTCTTCCTTTCACTATTTACGTTTCTTTTACAATCCGGAAAAAATCAGTATTACGAAATATTCCAAATATATCCAACCTAGTGATGTCATTGTGGGACTTCCACACTTCGTAGAAGGAGGGATATCCTGCACTCGTTAGTATCGAAATCATTTGCAGAAATCGTGTACGATTATTAAATCAATATTTGTGTATTAAACATAATAATAAATGAAGTTTCTTCATGAAACGTAGAACTATCTTCGTGTGGTACTTAAGCAAAGTAAGGACGTATAATAACTAGTACAATAGTATAATAACAAAGCAAAAAAAACCTAACGAACTGTGACATAGGTGGCGTTGTTTTCTTGTCATGATTATAGTCATTTCGTACCTCATTGAATATTTATATGTATGCAACTTCGTTACTCGTGTACTATTTATATTTATTGAATGATAGGAGCAAATCAGTCCTATAACGGATAAATCAGCATATGTAATACAGTTGACGTTGTCCTGTTGACATAAATCATGAGTAAATATTGCTCTTCTGTCCAGTCCGATACGGGAAAAAGGACGAAAAGCAATACAGGATTTTCACTTCCGGTGGCAAAGTTTCGCTTCCAAATTATGTTTGACGTATCTTAACCTGGAATAGACGGATCTAAAAGAAATTGGAAGACACATTTTACAACGTAAAAGACAAGAACATTTAATTATGATCCGTTTTTGTTACGATTTGCGGAAACATTCCACAACCTTTCCGAGTAATCTTTCAATTTATTATCATTCCGTCGACAAAAAAACATAATGTCTGAATATTCTCCCCAAGTACTTTATGTTTGCTAGATAAATAGAATTGCATCAGCATAGATTAAGTACCTGGACTGGAAATCGTAAATCTAAACAATATGATTTACAAAACAATTCGTCGTGACTGGGAAGAGGCAAGTTCAAATGACTGAAATGTGATTTACTGTACCTACAATGTATTTGACGGTAATTTTCTTGGTTTTTTAATCGAAGATTCATGATTATATGTATTGGCCCAACCCTTTAGTCTCAGGGCCAATTAGCGTCGAAAGTCGCAGAATGCAAGACATAGGATTACAATCCAGCGGCAGCGACAGCATAAACTATTTGTATATAACGCTTTATATTTCAGAAGGTAGAAGACCTGTATGCTTCCTACCTTGTATGCAAATGCCTTATTTTCTAATATTACGAAGTTTCCTGTCTGTCAT